CATGTGAAGCAAGGAAAACAGGAATGAAATGACTAAGGAAAGATTGGGTACAAATACAACCCTAGAAACCCTGTACCCCATATGTGCTACCCCACTATAGCCTACAGCAACTATGTCATATAAATCTGACAGCAGCAGACGCCGCCGCCCTGCAGCAGCAGCCGCCGCCAGGCCTGCAGCAGCAGCCGCCGCCAGAGCCTGCAGCAGTAGCCGCCGCCAGAGCCTGCAGCAGCAGCCGCCGCCAGATCCTGCAGCAGCTGCCGCCACCGACCCAGGAGCAGCAGCCGCCGCTCTACCAGCAGCAGCAGCCGCCGCCGCTCTGCCGCAGCAGCCACCGCTGCCCAGCAGCAGCAGCCGCCGCCAGAGCCTGCAGCAGCAGCCGCCGCCAGCGCCTGCAGCAGCTGCCGCCCCTGGACCCGGTACGCTCTGTGCTGCCCTGCCTGTGCTGCCCGTGCCTGTGCTGCCCGTGCCTGTGCTGCCCGTGCCTGTGCTGCCTGTGCCTGTTGCTGCCCGTGCCTGTGCTGCCCTGTGCTGCCTGTGCCTGTTGCTGCCTGTGCCTGTGCTGCCCGTGCCTGTGCTGCCCGTGCCTGTGCTGCCCGTGCCTGTGCTTCCTGTGCCTGTTGCTGCCTGTGCCTGTGCTGCCCGTGCCTGTTGCTGCCTGTGCCTGTGCTGCCCGTGCCTGTGCTGCCCGTGCCTGTGCTGCCCGTGCCTATGCTGCCTGTGCCTGTGCTGCCTGTGCCTGTTGCTGCCCGTGCCTGTGCTGCCCTGTGCTGCCTGTGCCTGTTGCTGCCTGTGCCTGTGCTGCCCGTGCCTGTGCTGCCCGTGCGTGTGCTGCCTGTGCCTGTTGCTGCCCGTGCCTGTGCTGCCCTGTGCTGCCTGTGCCTGTTGCTGCCTGTGCCTGTGCTGCCCGTGCCTGTGCTGCCCGTGCCTGTGCTGCCTGTGCCTGTTGCTGCCCGTGCCTGTGCTGCCCTGTGCTGCCCGTGCCTATGCTGCCCTGTGCTGCATGTGCCTGGTGCTGCTCGTGCCTCGTGCTCGCGCCCTCGTGCGCTCTGCTACTGTCTTCGCCCTCGTGCGCACTGTTTCTGCTCTCCCCCCCCCCCCCCCCCCCCCCCCCCGTTTGCGGGTATGGGGGTGGCTGGTGTGCATTCCTCCCTTTGCTCCTCCTCCTCCTTCGTCTCCCACTGCTGCAGCTGTCGCTGAGGGGGGTGGTTGTGTGGGAGACTGGGGTTTAGGGTTTAAGGGGGGTGCGTGGGAGTGGAGCTAGCGGTGTAGCAGCGGGTGTGTGTCAGGGGGGTGGGACTGTTTGGGGAAGCTGCATGGAAGTTACCGTACTGTAGTCCGCAACACCTGTAGTCCGGGGCGCTGTCCCGGTAGCCCAGTGAGCTAGACTTCTACGCCAGCCGCCCGTGGGTCCGTTGCTCGTCTGCCGCTACTTTAGCCGCGGGGCCTGTTACTCCTGTAGTCCGGGCGCTTAGTCCGGTAGCCGCTGTGCCAGTCTGCCTCCTGTTGCCCGTGTGTCTGCAGCTTCAGCCGTCTCCTCCTATCTCCTCTCCCCTCACTCTCCCTCCTCCTCCTCACTTGCCCGTTGTGACTACCACTAGCTTTGCTCATAATTCTTAACTTTAAACTATTGCTTCTTTAACCTGTGCTCAGAATGTGTGGTGACATTGTGATCCACCCTGAGCTTGTACTGCTTTGCCTGCTCTGCTGATTACACCCCACTTTGGCTATGGGGGTGTGTCAGAATATTATTTGTCTAGCCTGCAGTGGGGTGCTTAGTACTGAGTACAACCCCTTATGGTTTTCTATTTGTGTGTCCTGCTGCTTGCTAGTCCACTCCATTCTTCCTTCCAATTCTCCTTAGTAAACCCTAACTCCTAGTTCTAGAGCAAGCCCACCTACCTCCTAGTGTGGGCCTAGGCTACTAAGCCTAGGCCCCACACCTACTATTCTCACAATAAGCGCCATACGCCAATTAAAAGCGCCAGGCGCTTATCCGCAGGTGGCGCTTATATCCGGGGTATGACGGTATTGCTTGTGACTTATGGTATAGGATACATGATGTCTTTGTGATTTAGGTTTTTATTTCATATGCGGTTAATATGCTTTGCCAGTTCGGCTTCGTGCGTGCGCGTATGTGTGAAGGTGTATGATCATGTGTATGTGTTGTGTTGTGTGCGTATGTGTTTTCATTCATGTTTCAATTGCATTAATAACACATGTCTGTGGGTTTTACAAATTGGGATCAAACTATCATTTCCGAGAAGGTTCTTTGCGCACTCAGTGAGTGTGTCCATTCGAACTGGATTTGATAGAATTGACCCGTTTCTTATATCACACAGATTGTGTTGTTTCATGTAACAGTTGGATGATTCACAAACTTTGCTATTGAGCTCCCCCCCATGCTAGGCAGGGGATGCGGTAGCATAGGGTCTGGGTAAATTAACTGTTACGCATTTCCATTTTGCTACCGTATGCATTCATTTAACTACCACAGTAGCACATGTATTGTAATTATGCACTTCGCATTTACTTCATCTACGCATCACATTATCCGGCATATGCATCACGGAATAAACAGTTACGCATTCACAGTACATCATTTTGGCAACTCTTGAAATATAGGTTCAGTCCAGGCCCTCAGATTCGTTTTTGGCCTGTCTGATTCGTCAGACTAGTACACAGTTTTAGTCTGAAAATCTCAGAGTTGGTATAAAAAAAAGGCTGAAATTTCAGAGTGTCCTAAAAAAAAAGTCTGATCATTCAAAAACAATGTATTCAATGTTTCATCGGAATGTAATCAATGTTTCATTCATCTGCTACCGAAACACACAACACTAAGGGGATTTCCGATAAAACATGCTCTGACAGGGCGAATATATGTGTCAGGGCGAATCTTGGGGTGCTAAAGAGCGAATCTGCAATGTCAGGGCGAGTTTTCTGTGATTGGTCGAAAATTGTTGTGCTCTTACAGCGCAAGACAGTTGTGCCAGGGCGATTTTGCTATGATTGGGCGAAAATCTTGTGCTGTAAGGCTCGGATTTGCTGTGTCAAGGCGATTTTGCGTTGACATTGCGAATCTGTTGTGACCTGTAAGTCCGAATCACCAGTCAAGGACGCGTTTGTTGTACTCTGAATGATCAGAGTACACTCTCAGAAAACTCTGAACTCTCAGAGTTAGCCTTAAAAAAGGTCTGAAAATTACAGAGTTTGGGCCCAAAAAAGTCTGATTTTAACAGAGTACACTGGAAAAAAAATCTGAAATATCAGAGTTTTTTGTCCAAATCAGAGAAAAAAGTCTGACTTCGTAGGGCCTGGTTCAGTCAAAGCAAACTAGGAAATGAGAAGGAATGTAGTTCGGCACGTGGTAAATTGACGTGGCAAATACATAGTAGTCAGTCACTTCACTTAGCTTCTGTTCACTAGATTTTTTTCATCCTTCATTTTTTGAAGTAAAGAAGATGAAAAAAAAAATTGTACATAACGATCGTAATAGGTTGCTTCGCAACCCAAAACACACACACACACACGCACGCACGCACGCACGCACGCACGCACGCACGCACGCACGCACGCACGCACGCACGCACGCACGCACGCACGCACGCACGCACGCACGCACGCACGCACGCACGCACGCACGCACGCACGCACGCACGCACGCACGCACGCACGCACGCACGCACGCACGCACGCACGCACGCACGCACACACACACACACACACACACACACCTGTCCATGCAGTGCAAGGTCAAATGAGAACAGCCAGCCACCCATACAATTGAGAAGAAAGCCTCAGCACCCTAACTGAACACACCTTCCACCTTACCTGGCCTGGTACTGCTGGTGTACCAAAGGCAGTTTAACATGGATGGAGCCTACCTAGCGCATGCCTCGTATGTGTACTCCATTGCAGTGCAGAGGCACATATGCCGCATTGACGCGTAATAAGCTACGTATGCTAACTCACATCACGACTAATCTCACTGCCGCTACACCACATGGACAAACGCCATACCGTACGGTATTTGGTTCTGATATGTACTAGCCCTAAGCATGCTGCTGTGGCTAACACTTTCATAATTACTGTAACATACTTATAGTAAAGCAACTGTACCCATGGCAGTCAGGTCAACCTCTAAGCCAGTTCAGAAGCTGCTGCAGAAGGGCGGGCCATACATGCAGCGCCAAGGGAAGGGGACAGGGAATGAGAGTAAAGAAAATAGGAGTGAACGAATTTAGGAGAGCTGATGACGGCCAGAGCCAAGCCCTTGCATGACAAGACAATTGGCCTATAGAGAACTGTATTGCACCGCACTCCATTCCAATCAAAAACTATATGCTATGGAACAGATTAGTACTAGCACCATCTGAGTAACAGTACTCTGTGCCATACCATCCCATCCCATCCCATCCCATCCCATCCCTTACCTAGCCAGGGCGTGCCATGCCATGCACAGTCGAATTATAAGCACCATCCATGCAACAATGCCTGAGGAAGTAATCAGCCATCCTTATGCCATGGGCATTCGTACACATGCCCATACCAAAACAACCACGGCATACACAAATCCATACTGCAGCCACACAACAGCATACCCAAACAGCACCCACCCATACCCATATAACACCCACCGATACCCATACAACACCCACTCATACCCATACAATACCCATACCCCATACCCATACGATACCCATACCCATACCCATACAACACCCATACCCATACAACACCCATATCCATCCAATCACATACCCATACACTAACCAAACCTATGCAATACCCAAACCCTGACCGTGTCCATTGAAGCGACCAAACCATAACCACGACTAGAATCTGCACTGACATTTCCATACAACCATACCATATGAAACCCATCCATGACAATGCTCAAAATGCTGACAGCAACACAACCTCAGGCATCAAACGCAGCATGATACTAACCTCCTCGATTCACCCGCCCACCCACCCCCCCACCCACCCACCTGTGCTAGTCACCCTTGCAGCTTCAACGGTTTCTCCAGCACACACGTGAGCACAAAGTGGTTGCCTTTCCGCTCCGAAGCACGCTGCTTCCTCCCCAGGCTCCAGTACCGCTTGCCATACCCAAACGCCTCCAGCGCTTGCACGTACGCCTTCATCTCCCTGTCGGGCGCGTAGAACATCTCTATCCACCACAGCCCGCCCGGTCTCACCACCCTGTCCCACTCGAACAGCATCGCCTCAAACTCAGCTAAGTGCGGGTACTTAACGCTGTTGAGCGTGTGAATGAGGTCCAAAGTGTTGTCAAAAAACGGAAGAGGAGCCGAGTGCGGGAGGTAGAGAGGAACGAGGCCACGCTGGGCTATGGTCTGCATGTATGGGACAGCTTTCTCGTCCTCTCGCCCGCCATCCGTGTTCATTCCTGTGGTGATTATAGTGATATTGTGCAGAGCCATCACCGCAGCGAACCCTCCCGTACCACCTCCCACATCCAGGCCAATCCTCAGCGCCCCTGGCGGCTTCAGCTTGAGGAAAGCCTTGAGGGGAATCGTACCGGACACACTCTTATCCCACCAGTGCTGTTCCGACTCCACGTCAAAGCACCCCTTGCACGCCACGCCCTCCTCCTTACTCACCTCCACGCACTCCTTATACGACCCGCACCGCATGCCCTCCCCCCACCGCACGTTCTCGTCTCGCAGCGCCTCCTTCGCAAACACAGCCGCCGGGAAACCGAGGGTGTACTCTTGAAAATCCGGGGGGGTGAGAGCAGTGGCTCGGCAGCGGCGGCGGGGGAGGTGCAGGCAGTTGCGAGCGAAGCGGAGGTGCTCGACAAAGCGCCAGTCGTCGGGGCAGGCGGCACGCTTGGTGTAGTTGAGATAGCGCCGCATCTCCGCTGTTGTCGCCATGCACAGCCCAAACCCGGGTGACCGCGCCGCTGCACTCGCTGCACTTCCCCCTGCTGCTGCTGCTACCACTCCCGCTCCGGCTGCCCCGCCCCCACCTGCTCCCCCTCCCGCTCCCCCTCCGCTGTCTCGCATCTTCGCCAGCTCAGCGACCAGCTGGGCTTTCTCCTTCTCCGATTGGGCGAGCGCTGACCTGGCGTCGTCGAGCTGGCGGTTGATTTCGGCCATCTTCTCCTTGATGGCAGAGAGTGGGCCCGTGGGGATGGACCCCGACAGCAGCTCCCAGTTCATGTGGGGGCGTTCAGACGAGGGGGTGGAGGAGGGAGAGGAGGGAGTGGAGGGAGGGGTGTTGGTGCTGGTGCTGCTGTCGCTACTGGCAGTGGCACCACTACTGCAGTTGGTGTTGGTGGTGGTGGTGGTGGTGGTGCCACTGCCGCTGCTGTCGCTCCGTGCAGAGCTGACTAGGTCAGCGCGGCACTGCTGCAGAGCCGTCTTGCACGTCGCCACCTCCTGTGCTGCCGCTGCTGCCGCCGCAGCCGCTGCTGCTGTTGCGGCAGATGACGCTGCTGCTGCTGCTGCTTCTGCTGCTGGCGCTGCAACGGACCCTGCACTAGGAGACCCCGTGGTTGTTTCTGCTGCACTAGGAGACCCCGTGGTTGTTTCTGCTGCACTAGGAGACCCCGTCGATCCTGCTGCACCTACTGCTGCTGCCCCTGGATCAGCGGCCAGCAGGGCCGAGGCTTGCTCTTCCGCTGACGACGCCGCGCTTTCAGGCGGCCCATCCGCTGCTGACTCAGACGAGCCCTCCTCTGACGTGTCACCATCTGCGTCAGACAAAGAGGGAATGAAAGCAGCCATTGCGGCCCCGTCCGCTTCCCCCCTACCTCCCTCCTCTCCTCTCGGCCCACCTCCGTCCATCTCCCCCGATTGAGCCGTCCCTCCCCCTGCCAATCCTCCCCCGTCCCCGCGTCCCCCGTCATGCTCCACCCCCGTTGCAATCACGCCCCCCTGACCCTCCCTATAGCGAGCAATTTCCGCCTGAAGCACGCGCACAGGCTCGCCCCTGTCCCCCTGCTGCCATCCCCCCAACGATCCCCCTCCCCCTTCCGGTCTCCCCCGGCGCGCCTCTTCTCGAAACCAGCGCAGCGTGTCGTGCGGAGAAACTCTCGTCGGGTAGCGCCCCGACGCGACGGCAGCGGCGACGGCGGGCGACGCGGCGGCGGGCGCGGCTGACGCGTCGTCGTTTGATTGGAGGAAGAGGTCGGAGAGGAGGATGCAGAGGCAGAGGAGGAGCGAGCCGACGAAGACGAGCCGCACGGGGCGGTTGGAGAAGAAAGTCGCGGGGTTGATGGAGAGTGAGGAGATTAAGGAGGAGGGGAGTAAGGCATGCTGCTGCTGCTTGCCTCGCGCCGTCATTTCGAGTCGCGCTGCTGGTGAGTTACTGCCAACACCGCCGCCACGCTTCGTTCCTCAATTGCCTTCCCAATCACTTGTCTCGCACCTAGAAGACACTTTTGGGAGATCGCACGCACCAGGAGTGCGTCATGGACGCACCTTATTGCCGATTGTACATCTACTAACACCGCTCCCAACCGCTCCCATCTCCGCTCTTTCCGCCGAAACAGATTCTGGCACCTTCTTGCCAAATCTGCATCTACAAATCGCACGCTATCGAACTCGCTAAAAATCGGGCGACCCGCCACGTACGTTGTTCTACGAAAAGGTAAGCGGAACTTCACACCCGCAGGTAATTCCGTCAAGCCAACCTGCTATCGAGTCTGCGCTCTCTCGCGTGAGCAGACGCGCACTAAGAGCAGCGATGCGCCTGGGCGAGCACCTGAGCCTCACACGCGCTGTTGGTTCGACGACAAAGGATCAACTGAAATAAAAAATGCCGTGAATATGGTGTTACGGGTGTGCGGGCAAGGGGGAAAATCTCCGAGACATACGGGGCTTTCAGGTGATTCAGGGGTGTGACGCGAGAAAAAATGCCGTGTGTTATGAATTGTTAGGCCCGACGGCCTAAGTCCGCTAAAGAATTAGCGGGGTCGACTAAGTCGAGGATGAAACGCGGCGGAAGACTTCGGCGAAAGAACTATTGGCGAAATAGGCGAAGAAGTTACTGAGTAATTGAAGAAGAGTTGAATGAGAATTGATTGATAATGGCAAGTACAAGCAAGGTTTATATAGCATGCAAGAAACAAGGTTGGAAAGTGGAATGTGGGACCAAGAATTGGAGTGCAAGAAAAGTAGAGTGCCACGTGGCACTAGAGAATCTGAGAAGATAAGGATAATGGTGACTAGGAATGTACTGTTCGGAATGAACAGTAAACACCCCTCTAACACTACCCCCCGCCCAAGGAGGCGACGTCCGCGGCGCCTGCAGACTGAAGGTACGCTTGGAGGCAAGCGTTGTCAGGAGACAGCGAGGACGAAGGAACCCAGCTGTCGTCTGCTCCGTCGTAACCACGCCAACGAACCAAGAAGTCGATGAAAGTGACACCCCCCTGGAGACGGCGACGGTGCCTGAGGATGCGCTGGATCTGGTAGTCGGGCTCGTCGGTGTCAACAGCTACCGGCAGTGGAGTGCGATCACGGCCCGAGAAGGTGGCATTGGGATCGGTGTATGGGCGAAGGAGAGACACGTGGAATGACGGGTGCATGCGGAAATGTGCGGGAAGGCAAAGGCGGTATGCGACTGGACCTAGTGCGCGCTCAATGGCGAATGGACCAATGAAACGTGGACGAAGCTTGCTGTCCTGTGGCAGTCGGAGGTTGCGGCTATCCAAGAGAACACGGTCGCCGACTGCGAACGACACCTCACGACGACTGCGGTTGGTGGTGCGTGCCATGCGTGCATTTGCGAGCTCAAGGTGCTTCCTCACGTGATCATGAATGAAGGTGAGATGCTGGTGGAAGTTGTCCGCACGAGGGACTGTGGGTGTGAGATCGACACGAGTGGGGACATTGGGGTGCTGGCCGTAAAGTGCAAAGAACGGTGACATGCCTGTGGCGGAGTGGTGCGTGTTGTTGTAGGCGAACTCTGCCACGCTCAGCTTCTTGTCCCATGCGGCTGCGTCGTGCATCGTGATGCTGCGAAGGATCTGCTCCAAGGTCTGGTTCACACGCTCGGTCTGTCCGTCTGTCTTTGGGTGGTACGCAGACGACATGGCTAAGCGAGTCCCAAATAGTGCGAAAAGCTGCTTCCAGAACTTCGAAGTGAAACGAGGGTCGCGGTCTGAGATGATGGAATCTGGAACCCCGTGCAGTCGGACTACGTTATCTACGAACAACGTCGCGGCTTCCTCTGCTGTGACCTTGCCGTGCGTGGGGATGAAATGCGCTGCTCGAGAAAACTTATCCACTACTACGAAGATGGCGTCGTGACCCCTAACTGTGCGCGGTAAAGCCATGATGAAGTCCATGGTAACTACCTGCCAAGGGCGGTCGGGCGGTGGAATCGGCTGCAAGAGTCCTGCTTTGCGCTGGCGAGAGGACTTCGTACGCTGACACGTGTCGCACGAGCGAATGTAATCCTCTACGTCTGCTGCAAGCCCGGGCCAGTAGTACGTGCGACTAAGCGTCTTAGCCGTCTTATCTGCTCCGAAGTGCCCTGCACTAACTACGTCGTGTGCCTCTGAGAGAAGGAGCTGTCGAAGAGGGCGGTAGGCTGGAACCCAAATCCGTGTGGTACCCTTCCGTATGTAGACACTACCCTGCACCTCTGCTCCTGCGGGCGGCTGCGGTGTGAAGTCGGGATCTACTATGTAACCGTGCTCGAAGAGTGCTGTGAGAAGTGGGTGGCCAGCAGTGACTGTGAGACTGGCGAGCTGACAACTAGGGCGAGTGAGCGGATCTGCTGGGTTGCGCACGCCTGGCTTGTACTCTATCCTGAAGTGAAAGCTCCCTTCCATGAACTCCATCCACCTAGCCTGGCGACGACTCAGCTGCGGCTGCGACTTGAGGAAACGAAGCGAACAGTGGTCCGTGCGTATAACACTATCTGCCCCCTCCAGGTAGCACCTCCACACCTTATACGCATGGATGATCGCGAGCGCCTCCTTGTCGTGTATGGGATAGTTCAACTCCGCTCCCCTAAGCTTACGCGACTCGTACGCGATCGGCTGCAACCCGCGTCCCTGGTCCTGAAGAAGCACTGCTCCTATGGCCTGATCGGAAGCGTCGGTCACTACAACGTATGGGCGAGTGGGATCAGGGTACGACAGTGTCGGTGAGGACGTGAGCGACTGCTTCATCTGCTCGAACGCCTGCTGCTGCGCTGGACCCCAAACGTACTCTACGCCCTTCCGAAGTAGGTCGGTGAGTGGACTAGCGATCGATGCGTAACCCTGAACGAAACGACGGTAGTAGTTCGCGAAACCGAGGAAGCTCTGCAACTCCTTGACTGAGGTCGGTGCTACCCAATCCTGTACTGCTGCGATCTTCTTCGGGTCAGTCCTAATGCCACTAGCGGATACGACGTGTCCTAGGAACTCGACCTCTGGAAGGAAGAACTCGCACTTCGACTGCTTAGCGTATAACTGCTCCCTCCGTAAGACCTCGAAGACCTTCTGCAAGTGCTGCACGTGCTCATCTTTCGTCTTAGAGAACACTAGGATGTCGTCTAGGTAAACGACAACGAACGACCCTAGGAACTCGGAGAGGACTGTGTTCATGAGCGTCTGAAACGTCGCTGGGGCGTTGGTCAATCCGAACGGTAGAACCCTAAACTCGTACAACCCCTGCTTCGTACGAAATGCCGTCTTGTGCTGGTCCTCTGGAACTACTCGAATCTGGTGGTAACCCGAACGAAGGTCGATCTTTGAGAAGACTCTAGCGCCCTGCACTGCATCGAGAAGATCCTCTACTCTCGGCACCGGGAATCTATTCTTGACGGTGGCGGCGTTCAGTGCGCGGTAATCTATGCACATCCGTAACCCTCCGTCTTTCTTGGGTGCGAAAAGTATCGGTGCGGCCCAAGGCGATCTAGATGGCTGTATGAAACCCTGTGCGAGAAAGTGCCTAACTTGCTGCGTCATCTCCTCTGTCTCCGCTGGACTCAACCTCCACTGTGGCTTCGCTACTGGCCTGCTCCCCGGCTCCAATTCTATTCGATGGTCTACTGTTCGGCTGGGAGGCAACCCTGGGGGCAACTCGTCGGGGAAGACGTCTGCGAACTCTGCTAACAGTGCACTCACCTCAGCAGGAAGAGTCGCCTTCTCACTAATTGCTGCACTCCCTCCTTTCCCCTCCTCAGCTTCCACCTCCTCAAGAAAAACCGCGAAGATCCGTGCCGCACGCTTCACTAACTGTCGCACACGAACAGCATTAATGATAGCTGTGGATGATGTGGCCCCATCGCTCCACTGTGGCAGCTCCCGGAACTCCCCGTCTACCTTGACGCTGCAGCTTCCCTGAGCCCAATCGAACTGAGTACTAACCGTCCGTAGCCAATCTCTCCCGAAAATAAAATCGTATCCGTCCAGCGTCGCAGAGTCGAAATCACGCCTGACTGTGATCGGTCCTAGCACTACGCGCAACTTGCGGATGATCGGTCCTATGTGAAGTGGCGTCCCATCTACCATGCGAGCGTCCTTAAAGTTGACTGCTGAATCTGCTTCGAGATGGAGACGAGAAACTAACGATGAAGTGACGAACGAGTGGCTAGCTCCGCTATCTACGAGAATCTTAACAGGAACTCCGCGAAGCTTCCCTAGAAGCACGACTGGACGATCAACAGTGTCTACCTCGTTCTCCGTAGATGACTGCTGCAAAGTCGTCTCCTCTACGTTGGTAGACGTGGCGGGTACGGGAACCTCCACACCAGCTAGCGACCCGCTATCTACTGGCGGTTTCCGTTTCCCTGCTGTCGCTCCTTAAGCTGTGGGCAGTCTCGCTTCATGTGTCCCGGCTTTTTGCAGTAGTGACAGTTCCCCCTAAATCCCATTTTCTGTGAGCCGTCACTGTTAACTGCACCAATCTCCATGGGCGATGGTCCGTCCCTCGATCGAGCGTCGTTGATCGGTCTGTTGTATCCCCTATCGCGATCGTCACGACCCCGTCGGCTTCGTACTGCGTCGACGCGTTCTGCTGCTGCGACTACCGACTCGAAGGTGGACAACCCGTGAATCGCAATGACTTCCGCTATGTCCGGCTTCAACCCTTCGAGGTAGCGATCGCGCATCTCTGCTTCCGTGATATCGTCTATCTCGTTGCAGATGCTCAAGAACCGTCGTGTGTACTCCTGGACGTTGCCTATCTGTCGGAAATGACGCAGACGCTTCCTAGCAGCTTCGGAGGCGTTCACCAAATCGAACCTACTTTTCAGCGCCGCTTCAAATCCTTCCCATGTGGTCGGAACCGTGGTAACACCCAAAGCTAAACTCCCTAAGCTCGAAGTTGCAGCTGCATGCCCC